GGAGTAGCTAGGAATCAAATCGGTGGGTTGCAATCGGCGCGCATAGGGATAAGAAGGAGAAGAAAAGTGGGAGCGGACAAGATCAGGTGAGGAGGAAGCTACGTACCTCAAAAGAAGATTCAAACTATGTACAAGTTTTGTTTTAGGTTTCAACTTATAAGTCATCAGGGGAACACAGGTTGTCACGGAGGGGGAAGAAGGTCGTTTGCGGTTGAGGGGGTTGTGAAGGTAAAAGCGAGGAGGAAGAGACGAAAGAAGTTGTAAAGGAAAGGGAAGCGAGGAAGATTGCCGGAGGAGTTGTTGGCAATAGGAGAGTGAAGCTATGTGCAAAAAAGGGTCAGGCGTTAGAGGTCATGGGAAACAATCAAACGATCAATCGAAGAGTAGATAGGAAATCGGAAGCGGTGGTTAAAAAGCAATTTGGGGGTAATAAATGCTCAAGGATGAGAAGAAGGAAATACTCGACAATCAGACGAAATCAATTGTTGTGAATAAGGGATAAAAAGGGTTATGTACATAGGAGGAGGAAGCACAAGGTCGTTTTTGGTTGTGGGGAGTCTTGGGTATACGGCGGAGTCGGGTCGGCCGTGATTGGGGAATTGACAACACAAGGAAAACCAGGATAGAGCTAAGACTCATCAATCGGCAATCAAAGGACCTCGTAAGCTATGCAATAGGAGAAATCAATCAGTCCTCACTGCTCAGCATTTGGCCATACAACAATAGGGTAAAGAGGATTAAGTAACTTATAACAGGGAACGATCGATCAATTGAGCTAGAGTCTAGTAGCCTAGCTTAAGAAAGGCGTTGAAATGGCTTTGAAGACAAGCACAAGGTGGACGCGGGCTGAAGCTTGAGATGATCAACGATCAGCCTGGTTTTATAGCTTCACACACAACTCCACTGAGGACATCTGGGAAGACTGCTGAAGACCTGGTACAAAGACCTCATCACATCAAGCACAACCAAACACAGCAACAAGATAGGAAGAGTCTGGAAGCAACCAAGGGTCTCTATTTGGTCAGTTGGAGTGAAGTTTTCCATACAATTCATACAGGCAAAGAAGAAAATCAAGCAACATGAAGATACTGGAATAACTTGGTATTTTTTTTTTTTGAGTTCCTGTACAAATGAGGGATCAGAAAAAAAAAAGAGAATTGAACTTAGTAAAACAATAAAAGTTGAAAAAAAAAGAGAAAGAGAAAGAAAAGGCCTCCTGAGTAAGAGGTTAAACTGCTATGTTTAGTCACTCTTTTAGCCTCCTAAGCATGAGGTAGAACTGCTCAACTCTCCTCAGCAAGAGACAAAATTGCTCATGTATCCTCAGCAATAATATAAACTGCTATGAAAAGTCATTTCTTTGTGAAAACAGTAGAATAATATTACAAAATATACGACTACGGAATTCAGGATCAGGAAGAAATGAAATCAAGAAGATTGTAGTGTATGGACAGGAGCTGTATGGCCATAAAATTTATTTAAGAAAACAAACATCAAGTCATTTGACAATCATTCACAAGACACAATCATCAGCACATTCACGAATTATAATAAGATGGGAAACTTGGAATAGGAAGAGACGATCTAAAGAAGTGGAAAGCGTGGACGGACTATCAATGCAATATATGAGAACAACAGGACTAATGATTTTTTTATAGGACAAGCGGGATTCATAATGTGAATGTCAAGGGATTGGATGTGCTTGAATAAGAAGGGGCATTATCTATGAACGGGTGAAGGATGAAATTAGGCCGGAAACGTAAAAGTTAGATAATGTCAATTTTCCAATACCCTTGCAGGAATTTTAGCTACCAGCCTTTTCTTTGGACCAATGCGGAAATATATGAAGCGGAATAGGGTGTGGATATTCAGTGGGCATTGCAGAGCCTTTGATTTGGACGTAGCAGGTAGGGAGGATGGATGAATCTGTAATCTTATGAATCAACTTTCAGGACTGGTGTGACAATATGGGGCAACAAGAACCCTTTGGCGTATAGATATGGACTTGGAAAGGATTGGAATACAACTAAGGAGGACTTATTTATTAGGAATTAATTTCAAGACATCATGATTATAAGATTGGAAAGCATTTGGTAGGCAAACAGGATCTTTTGTTTAGCTGAGGGAAAAGGGTGGGTCAATTCAAGTCAAGTCAAGTCAAGTCAATCATTTATTAGTAAATGAATAAGAAAATAGCACGGCGTTAAGAGCACTGGACGAAATGGACGGAATAACACAGCAAATTGGAAAATTAACGGGATCAAAAAGGAAGACATACAGACTTGGACGGAGAAGAAACAAACCAGCAACATGGACAACGTGGAACGGGAAATTAACGTGGAATATTTTGGAATCAAGATGTAAGAAGATTCATAAGACTAGCAAGAATTATAAATTGGATTGAAAAGTTTGAGTGATATGAAGAGAAAGAGTGAAAGGGTTGAGTGTTTAAATAATCCTTGCTGGATGTTTGGCCATCTACCTCTTTTTAGAGCGGATGAGATGAAATAGTTTGAAATAACTCATGGGCATCTTGGATTAGGTTGTAGCGGTTATCTTTGTTGTAACCCAGCTACTGGGTTACCACCTGACTCACTAGAACCTAGAGTACATAGCTTGAGTGAGCGAGTTTGTGAGAATTCTATTCATCATTATCACAAACCACATCAGGTCATGAGCCCTCGTCTCAAAAATTCGACACACCTTTATCTTTACCCAGCGTGGGGCGGATCACTTCATTACATTTACCCAGCGTAGGGCAGATCAAATCAGTTTTCTTCAGCAACACTCTCAAGTATCGACTCATCAAACATTGACCGTCACACCCAGCGTAGGGCAGAGTTTTTAGATTTAGCCGGATCACCTAGTTTGAAAGTAGCGAGTACGTTCGGAAGCTAGAGACTAGCTACCTCGTCCCAATACCTTGGTACCTAGGGGGCCAACGTTCGTACAAGCGAGGATATAACAAAAGCGCTAAGGTTTTCTCTTCTTCTCTGCTTGAAAGCTACGACAATTTTTGATCCTCTTCCCTTCTTCCCTTGAACTCCTCTTTTCAATTGACTATCTTCTTTTTCCCTTTTTCTCATCTCCTCCGATATCGTTAATCATCCCCTCAAAAAAATTTTTTTTTTCCCTTTCTTTCCCATTTTTCCTTCCTCCCGATCATCCTTTTTCCCCTTCTTTTCCCCACCAGATCATATGGCTTCCGACATCCGCAATACGCACTCCCCACCCCAAACCAACAATCCATGGCACAATGAAGTCAATCGCCATCGCCCGGTGTCCAGGAACTCGCCGGCCGCCTTCGCCATCAATGCCAAAAACGGAGCCGACCCACAACGCCATCCCTCTAGGAGCCGAAGCCGCAATGCTCCTCACAATCGGACAAATGATCGCCGGCAAGATGAGGACAAAGACGGTGATGTCCCAATCTACACTGCGAACAAAGTGAATCGGTTTCTGGCAGAAGCATTGGTGCAATCCCTCTATCAAGGCAAGACACCGGGCCAAATTGTGTCGAACGTTGTTTCAAGGATGTCAAGTGCCGACAAACTCCAACCAAACGGGTCCAATTTCGCCGTCTGGGAGCTAATGATGAGGGAACGAGCCCTAGAAATCTTTAGCGTCCCAATGTGGTACACCAAACAATGCGTGGATCCGGTCCAAGAGCAAATCGGCTGATCGCTGCTTCTTGCAACGGTTGATAGCAGCATGCATTGGAGCATATTGCGCCATCCAAACTGCTATGAGATGTTCACCTATCTCAACTCACGATTCTTCACCGTAACTCGAGCGGAGCAAATGATGTGTTGGGACAAGTTGATTAACTTCAAACTGTCCGATTTCTTGAGCAGCGCCGAGGCAGTGACAAAGCTGTACAAAACCCTGGACGACTTTGTTAGCTTCGGACTGGATCTTAACCGGGAGACAATCGGTGGACTGGCGCTACAGAGCTCGATTGAGGCTGGTTCGGAGTTACGTCGTGAGGTGGATTGCCGTGTTGAGCAAGACTTGGGAGGCACCAGCAAGACGCTTTCCAAGAAAGCCGTTACGCCGGACCAAATTCTGAAGCACATCGATATTGTGAAACGACAACTCGATTTAGGTTCATCGCGATCAAGTACGTTCTCGGCATCGGCACCTCAAGCACACCAAGCGACGGCCGACACCCATTCCGACCAAGCTAGAGAATTCTACGATCCTCAAACCTGGCCCAACACACCTGAGCAAGTAGAAGGAATGGCGATTTCGGGACCCCAATGCTGGAACTGCCGATCACCAGATCATCTCCTAAGCAAATTTCGTCTGCCCAGAAGGATCGACTTTGATCGCCCACCGTCGTCATCCAACTTGTGGCGGAGACAGCCTCAACATCCTGTCGGCAACAGGTCGGGCCACGCCCCGGTGATGGCACCAGGAAACTTCCAAGCCTGGTATCCAATCGTTAACCCGCCTGGGTATCAACATTGTGGCTATCAATCGGCACAATCGCCATACACCCCACCGCCAACAAGCCTGCCAGGACAACAACCTGCCAAGCGAGCTGACTTGTATCGCCCCGACTACCGTCAGAGGACTCCACAACACCAGCCAAAATCACAAAGCCAGGCTTCTGCCAACGCAGTTGATGCTAGCAATCCATCCGAGGAACCCGATCACCACCAATCTCAACCAAGCCAAGACTGCTACCATCCACCCTCTCCAATCCAGGAATCAACATCGAGGATGATCGAAATTGGGGTGTTTGACGAAGGCCTATAAAATGGAGTAGTGCCTGGGTTCCGTCAACTCACGTTGGGCGACGGTGATGACCCAGTGTTAGACACAGGTGCCACTCATCACTTGACAAGCAATAGGTACACCCTCAGTAGCTTTCGTCTCCTTGAACACCCTATTCCCCTCCAGGTAGCCACTAAAGGAGGCGGTTCCTTTATAACAGGAGCTGGGGACCTCTCTTTTCCAACCCTGAATGGGCAAATCACAATTCTTAGAGGGGTGCTATACTGTGAGCAAGCCTCCTCAACTCTCATCTCATTGGCAGCTCTGAGGAAGGCTAACTCCAGATTTTTATACAATCATGTTGAAGATGCCTTTCATATCTTCTCGCCAGATTGGAATCTGCTCTTCTCTTGTCGCCTCCAGCACGCGTCCAACAAATGGTGTCTACCTCGACCACTCCCTCCATATCCTTCTGGAAAGCCACCTAGCACAACCTTCCTTTCTTCCATCACCCGCCATCTTGTTTCCTCACCTGTCTCTCCTGTTTCTTTTGTTGAGGTTTGGCTGCAAAATCCTTCCATCCCAAATGGAGGAAACCTGTGTACACATCTTCCACTTAGAATGGAAAATGGCTGAGTTGAGCTTGCCCAAATTTTTCAGCTCATCCAGCTCAGTCAGCTCTTGGACCCAGCTCATCCAGCGAAGTCAGCTCAACTCAGCTCCCAGACCCAGCTCAGTCAGCTCTTGGACCCAGCTCATCCAGCTCTGAAATCCAGCTCACCCAGCTCTGGGATCCAGCTCATTCA